TCTGGGCTCTGCCACCCTGGCCCTCCCGGTTTCCTGAGACCGACTACCCCAGTTGCCACCACAGCCAAGTCCTCTCAGCAGCTGCCCTCTAGCTCTGCAAGTTCACCAGCTTCCCGCCCCCCCCCACACACACACCTCAACCCCTTCTCGCCCTGAAAGGTGTCCCAGCGTTTCCCAGGCCGCGTCCGGCACTCGCTGCACTCGCATCACGGATCCACAGCACCATCATCGTGGGCATCCCTGGCTGGCTCACCTAGACGTCCGACTCATTTCTCTGCAGTCTTGGCCACACTCCACTTTCCAACACCCGCTGCGTGCTGCACCTTCCAGAAGCACCTGGACCGAGGCACCTTATATCAGGGTTTTCGAGGGGCTGATGGCCAGGACGCTAGCAGGACGGAGAGGCGGGGCATTTAAGGGCACGCCCCATCTGAGGGCCCCCTCTGAAAGGAAGTGCATTCCATTCTGTGAAATCCATAGATCTGGGAGAGGAGGGGCGCTGTGGTAACCATACCCCTTCCCAGCTGGCGCCTCAAACATTTAGGTTGCTTCTAGAGGGATTAGAAACCCGCCCAGGTTTGAGGGATTTATGAAGCCACGCCCACTCACACCACCCCCTGCCTGGAGCTCTGAGCTTTCTTTGTGAGTTGAACATCCTCCTCTGGTTTCTAGTCTAAGTGGCAAGCAGGCCCTGAGAAACTTGCCTTTGAGTAGAGGCCAGGACAGACCACTTGAAGGTGTAGGTCTGGAGGTCAGACCCGCATTCCTCTTGGAAGCTGCAGTCCCCACTGTGGTTGAGCACCAGCAAGACAGGGACATATATCCAAGTTCCCCTGGGAAACTGGTGAGCCTTCCAGTCCACACTAGAAAAGAAACTCAGATCCCCTGGAAGAGCAGCTAGTGCTCTTCAGACACAATTTTTTTGTTTTGTTTTGTTTTGTTTTGTTTTTGAGACAAGGTTTCTGTTCAGCCCTGGGTATGATGGAACTTGCTCTGTAAAACTTGCTCTGTAGACCAGGCTGGCCTCAAGTTTGGAGATCCATCTGCCTCTGCCTCCAAAAGTGTGTGCTAGCCACTGCCCTCCTTGTTTTTTTAAATTACATCTTGTGTGTGTGGGAGGGGGGTTGGGGTGTCAAGGACAACTTGGGGGAGTTGTTTCTCCTCTTGCTCCATAGGGGTCCTCAGGATTGAACACAGGCCCTCAGTGTTGAATATGATCCCTCGACCTGGTGGGGTTTTGTGGGTGTTGGGGTTTAGTCCTGGGGATGGAGCACACGTCTTCACATATGTTGGTCAATCACCCAACCACTGAGCTACATCTGCAGTAGATATTTGTTACTGCGATGGCAGGGGTGGAACTTGGGTCCTCACTATGTCAAGTGAGCACCATACCTTTGAGTGGACCCGGCCTGGCACTCTC